TAACAGCGTTGATCAACTTTGCCAATCAATGTACGCAGTTACGTGGACAGGCCGACTTTAAACTGTATTTGATTCTCAATGCAAATATATCCAAAGGTGCCGTAAATTTATGGCTTCCTGCCTATATATAATAGATAAAAATGTATAGTAATAAATAGAAAATTCAAAGGGTATAATTAAAATGTTCATGGGATCTATTCAATGCACATGTCTTTAGATTTCTCATTAATATCATTATTTTTTGCCACTGTCGTCATCCTCAGGATATGCATATAGAATAAAGAAACATTTTCTTTGAATTTAATTAAATTGTCACAAAATCTCGTCAATCTTCTGTCAGAAGATATATCATATACATATCTCCCTCGAACTTTAGCCTTTCTTCTAATATTTATTTTGAATAAAAACTAATTACAATACAATATTTATTTCATATGTCAAATATTTTCCATCTTTCTAACAGAAAAGAAACAGAAAGTTAATATATTTATGTTTGATTTAATGTTCTTTCCGATATTTTACATCTAATTTTGATCAAAATTAGTTTCATTAAATTCCGAACAGCATCTCGATATAATTTTCCACCACATAATGTAAAAATATAAAATGTTGATCCACTACCAATATAAGCAAAAAGAACGCCTATATTAAAAATAAAATTTTCAATAGCATTTTGAAGAGGAGATTTATTATAATGTATTGTTAAAGTTGAATAAACTTTTAGAATTGCACTTGGTAATAAGAAAATCGAAAGAATAATAACTTGAGTAAGCAATGATACAAGCATATAACGATCGATTTTTTTTGTTCGATTTGGTTGATTAACTATTGGTGCAGTAGAAGTATTTTCTGGTCGAAGACGTTTTCGAGTATGACGAACATTTAAAATAGTCTTGATACCAAATACAAGCATGAAAAATATTGGAATGATATTAGTAGGAAATGCATAACTAAAATCAGTAATTAATCGGCATGTATCTGTTCTACCATAACATTTCGATGGTGCATTTATAACATTTGCTTCGTAACAATAAAATAATTCGACATTGAGAATTATTGAAAAAATAAATGCCATAATAATACCATGATAAGCATTTCTTAATGTACTAAATTGTCGTCGCTGAATATGAGTAGATGTTAATAACCATCGATCAATGGCAGCTAATACAATAATCCATAAAGCAATTGTTCTGACTGTCCATAGAAGAAAAAGTCGAGATTTACAAAGCCAACTGATTGTATTTGTAAGATCTGATATCCAACCAGATAACATTCGAGGTATTAAACCTGAAAGAATAGTTACAAGATTTGCCATTGATGAAACAAGAAATAATAAAGCACATGAATTTGATCGAAATGTTTTCTCTGCTAATACAAGAATATTTAAAATATTTCCAATAGTACCAAATGCAAAAATAATTATTGAAAAATAACGATTCAGTTGTGATGATGTATTATTAAGAATTGATACTAAAGTAGCATCCCAATCCATAGATGACATTATTTTTATTATAAAACTGTTCAACCTTCGCTTACAGTAAAAGAATTATAAGAAAGAGTTTTACTAATGAATTTTATATCAAATGATGTAAAGGCAGAATAAAAGGTTTTATTAGTGTTTACTATTAAAAAGAATGAATGAAGAAAAAGCTACCCATGTCGATATGACATGCCAGCAGCACATGTGTCGCTCTTTGCTGTAATAATGAAGATGTATTTTTAATTAGTATGCATATATTAATATTTAATGTTTATGACAGCATCTGTAATTCAATATCTTTATTTCGATAAAAATTCAATATTCTATGAAAAAAAATTTCTACTCCTTTTACCAAAAATATACAGACTTATAAAAAATAAAAATAGCAATAATTAAAAATAAAAATAATTGTAGAAAATGATAAAAAATAAAAACTGAGTGGTATAGAAATTTAAAAATATCGTCTGTGAATCTTACTAATAAATAAATTATGATGTATTATCAAGAAATAAAAATGAATCTGATTTTTAAGATAGCTGATTGATTATAAGCTTCAGACATGAAAAAACTTGAAATATTACGTTTTCGTAATAAAAGCAAAAAAAAACACAAAATTTTCACAAAAACAATTGCAAGAACTTTGCGTATGAAATGAATAAAAATTTTGTTTACAAACGAAGAAACCAGATTCAGTAAAATAAGAACAGCAATTCGCTTCACATAAATATCTACAAAAAATCAGTACGAAAAAAATCTATTATTTATGTGTACTTAATTGTTTTACTTAATTAAACAAGTAACGCTTGTCTGAAGACTCGCTTAGCTCTTTCTCGTGAAAATGTATCGTCTTCAGATCTACTGAAAAAATTGGTTTTCGATGTTTTTTTGACCTCTCCCCCCCACCACCCCTTCACGTTGGTCACCCAACAGACCTCAGATGCGAAATACCTCTAGAAATGTCTTTTCCGGAAAATTGGCCTTCGATGTTTTTTTGACCCTGCGGACACACAAGCAAACAATCTATGTTTACTGGACTCTTCTCTACGAGAAAGACAATATCTAAATTTTTGCTTAATAAACAATCAATTTATTTCGAAATAATCTATATTATCAAATCATCATGATGAATTGACTTTTCTCGCTTACGATCATATTTATATGAAGATAGACCAATTGCATATTTTCTAGATGCAAGATTGACTGTTGATATTTATTTATTAAGATGTTAGAATACAATGACTCATCGAAATATTATTAAATATCTCGAACACAATAACAATTAAAAATATATGATTTCGTTATTCGAACGATAAATACCGTGAATGTCAAACTACTCTATTGTGCTAATAGGCAAAAAGTGTCGTACTAGATTATATTCAAAGATATTAAGACATTGATCTAATCGTTTATTTATAATTATAACATATTAAGATCATCATTATATCTAATATTATCGTTTTCACTTATTTGACACATCAGGAAACGTAGTATTTAAAAACATAAAATACGAAATTTATTCGTACTAACTCATACTTAGAATTTTTATCTCTAATAAAGCAGAACATGTATCAACTCGATGCTAGTCCCAGATACTATTATTTACAATCAATAAAAGTTATTTTTAGTTTCTTTCTATGGTAGTGATATTGGTCATTATATTCATATTGAACGGTTCGATGGTAAATAACAGTTTTATTCTTGAAATATATAAATGAATTACTACTGGAAAAAAAGAAATAATATTATGTCTTAATTTTTCCTTTTCATTATTTATAATCAAAAATGATGTCGCACATTTAAGAGAAGATTACAGTTATACTTAACTCTATAATTTATATTCACATCTATAAAAATAGATGAACTAGAAATTAAAAGGTAATAAAAACTTTATATATTTCAAATCTATCACAGTGAACTCTAAATTATTAATAGATACTTCATTCAAAATCGGTAAGGATAATATTTTGTCATACAATCGTTTACATTTGGTCATCTTTTCTTTATTCATTACAATGTAATTCACTTGTTTCCTTCAAGTATTGTTCCGTAAATATCACATTCACTTTCGTATAATAGACAAATATAGATATGCGATAGTAGTACATTTTATCTGATGATTATTACTCTTTTAGAAAATAAAAGTATGTTAGTCAGAATTATCATCATTCATATACTAGTCTACCTTTTGCCATCAAATATTATTTGCTAAAACTAAGACTATTTCTACTTAATAATACTTTCAGTTATAAAAAGAACATGCATTCATTTTCTTCCATTAACATTTTTAATTTATGAAAAAATAAAATATAGATTAAGTCATTTCAAAAGTAAAATAACAAATGATTAAATTATAAATTTTATAGAAATATTCTAAGAAGATTAATTTGACATGTGACATAAATAAAAGAAGTATACTTAACAAACATTTTTGAATTGTTATATTATCTATAAAAAATTTTTTTATCATACTTAATCATTTACAATTCTTTTTCAATAACTCTCGAGAAATATTTTATGTTGTTAAAAGAAAAAGAAACTCTTTTAATTATATGAGAAATATATAATAGTACAACACTCTTGTCGATGAGTATGTTTTTTTTTCTATCAAAAATTCTCCAAAATGATAAGTTACGTTGTTTTACATTCGAGTTGAATTTTTTTCTAAATTTAAGAAAATATTTCCATCTCGCTATTTTAGAATTTCCATCAACGATAATGGTATTTATTAAGTGAATTGAATCGTTATTAATAGAAGAATATGAACTCATTTTATAAATTCAATAGATTAAGTTTAGCTTCAATTAGAAAAAAAAACATATTTCTGATTATCAGAGCATTTGCTAATTAAGTAGCAAAAAAAATCCTGACATTCTTTTTCTCGCTTTCATCCATTAACACATTTCAACTATTAATTTCTGGTAATATCTATATATATAAAAGATTCTTAAGAGAAGATCTACCAATTTCATATACAAAGGTGATAGGTCCTCTCGTAGAAAAGTATTAACTTCATCCAAGCAAATAATGCGCACTTTTTCTTTAAAACTATATGAATATGAGCTAACATATATAAGATTACTAAAAAAACAACTCATTTTATATTAGACATGATTAAATTCTCTTTTTTTTTATATTAATAATATAAACTAATCATGTTTCGTATCTTGATAAGATACTTCGTCGGATATAAATATCAGGAGAGGAATAAATAAAATATTTTCTATTTCTTTTTAAGAATAATATCATTTAGATTGAATTGAATATATAATCATCTTTTCAATTATTAAAACAAAACAAAAAAGACGTTTCAATGGCTTCATCATTAGCTGATTCGCTTACTATTATTAGAAAAGAAATCGTTATTTATTTTGTTATTCCATGTTTTATTCTTGGTGTTATTGGTGGATGTCTTAATGTAATTATATTTCTTAATTTAAAAACATTTCGACAAAGTTCATGTTCATTTTATTTAATGATTATGTCATTATTTGATATTGGTCGATTCTTTGTAAATGTCTTACCTTATATTATGCGTTTTGGTTATGGAATAGATTGGGGATTAAGTTCATTATTCTTTTGTAAATTAAGATTTGGCATGTTTACAACATGTACATTAAGTTCAATGACATGTTTATGTTTAGCCGTTATGGATCAATATTTTGCTACATCTTTTCATATTCGATGGCAACAATGGTGTAATATTAAATTAGCGCATCGTCTTACAACAATATTTGTTTTTATTTGGATTTTACATGGAATTCCATATATTATACTTTATGATCATATTATTTCACCTTTAACAAATACTATTGTATGTCAATCGACAAATAATATTCTTAATCAATATACAACTTATGGTTATTATATTATTCTTACAAATTTATTACCATTTATAACAATTGTATTTGGATTAATGGCTTATTATAATGCACGACATTTAGCTTATCGAACAGTTCCTCTTGTTCGACGTGAATTAGATAAACAATTAACAGTAATGACTCTTGTTCAAGTTTTAATTAGTTTTTGTGTATTCATACCATTTTCCACACTCAATATAATTTCCATATTCAATACACAACAAAGTGATCCTGTATTTCAAGCTATACTTAGTTTAATAGGAACTATTACTACAAATTGTTTTATTTTAAGTTTTACGGTAAGAATATTTTTTTTTCGTAAAATATTCTCATCTTTCTGTTTTCTTTTCTTAATTATTTCAGACTCCATTTTATACATATAGTTGTGTTTCAAAACGATTTCGTCGTCAATTAAAACATGTTTTGTACGATGTACATATCAAACGATGCCAAAAAAATAAAATTGAACCTATTCAAATCAAAACGGATGGTACAACAAACAGTTGATTACAATTTTTTTTATTCGAATATTGAATGTTTTTAGCATGTATTATTTTCATGTTGCTTTTGTGCGTGACATTTTTATTGAAATAAATATTGAATAATGAAATTATTTAAACATAAATTTAAAATATCCTCTCGAAAGAATACATATTTATCTTTTTGTATTCATTAAAATAATTCCAGATTGGATTTTTTAGGAGTGAATGTTCTTTTTTTCTCCTAGTAATGTATACTCTAAGTTTTTTCCGATGTTGACATCAAATAAAATGCCAATATTACAATAACGTTAGTCCTATATTGATTCTTTTCTTGTAATAAAAAAAAGAGTCAACGAGCAAAACAAAATATATATTTTTGTTAACACGTTCGTTTGACACGTATTTATTCATGTTTTTTAAATGGATAACATGCATGTAAGGCAAATATTATTCTAAAACTAGTTATTAACTTTATATTTTTTTAACATTCCTTTCATATAATCAGTAAGCAGACAGATACAGGGGTGCTTTATAAAAAAAAATACTCTGATAAAAAAATTAAAATATCTTTGCCAGATGCCGATCACATGAGATGAGATTTTCATCCATAATAGAGATTTTCTTAATATTTTTCATAAGAGATACATCAATATCAATAAGGATTTTTCATTTTTCAGAGACTCAAAAAATAAAAAATTCTTATTGATGTTGATCTTATTGCATAAAAAGAGTGATTTATTGATGTATCTCTTATTAAAAAGATTAAGGAAGTCTCTATTACTGATGAAAATTTCAGCTCATTTGGTCGATATCTGGCCTAGACATTTAAATTTTTTTATCAGAATAATATTTAAGAGTCAGTTTGTATGTATACGTGTTATAGTTACATCTCTAAAAAATCTATTTTTTTTGCAGTAATAAATATATTAAACTTTGTGCGCATGACAATATAGAATATAAATGTCATAATTGTTTTCCATTCTACTGAGTCTAATCTATCTGTGATATTTTAATATAATCAATTTTTTAGATTGAAGGATTCTAATTCCTATTAAAATAATTGTGACTATATTACTATGTTACCCGTCAATGATGCGCAATACATATCACCTAACAAAGATAATCAAACAGGACAACCAACAGATAATGTAGTGACACATGAACCACCGCCTACTTATACTCAATTCAATAGTCACCCTGTACCAGTTCTCAGTCAAAATGGGCAGATACCATCATTACCATATGGGTATGTTGTCATGGCTGGTGCACAACAGTTTATAGTAAACCAAGTGAATGTATCTGACTATCTTAAATGTTCAATTTTGAATTCATTATGCTGTTTATGGCCAGTTGGTATAATTGCAATAGTTATGTCGGTCATAACAAAAAAAAAGAAGGCTAGTGGTGACCTTGAAGGTGCTCGAAAGTTTTCAATATTGGCTGTAGTATTCAATATACTCAGTACTGTAGGCGGTATTATTCTCTTCGCTGTTCTTAGTATACGCTACAAGGGACACATGAAGTTCCCATTTTAGTGTTATTTCATTGATGCTATGTATCCTATTCTAACAATCCTTCTCTTTCTAATCCTACTTATGCATAAAAATTTTCCTTTCATTTTCAAATATCAGTATTTGAAGAAAATATCCAACACGATCATAATAAAGAAATAAATAAACAGTTCAAATTACAAATTGAATAGTTTTTTGTAAAAGTATATAGTTACATTTCTCAAAAAAAATATTTTTTTTTGTAGTAATAAAATATACTAAACTTTATGCGCATGACAATATAGAATATAAATGTCATAATTGTTTTCCATTCTACTGAGTCTAATCTATCTGTGATATTTTAATATAATCAATTTTTAGATTGAAGGATTCTAATTCCTATTAAACTAATTGTAACTATATTACTATGTTACCCGTCAATGATGCACAATACATATCACCTAACAAAGACAATCAAACAGGACAACCAACAGATAATGTAGTGACACATGAACCACCGCCTACTTATACTCAATTCAATAGTCATCCTGTACCAGTTCTCAGTCAAAATGGGCAGATACCATCATTACCATATGGGTATGTTGTCATGGCTGGTGCACAACAGATTATAGTAAATCAAGTGAATGTGTCTGACTACCTTATATGGTCAATTTTGAATTCATTATTCTGTTTATGGCCAGTTGGCATACTTGCAACAGTTATGTCGGTTATAACAAAAAAAAAGAAGGCTAATTGTGATCTTGAAGGTGCTCGAAAGTTTTCAATATTGGCTGGAGTATTCAATATACTCAGTACTCTGGGCGGTATTATTCTTTTCATTCTTATTAGTCTACATTTCAGTGGACAGATTCACCTCTCGTAATAGTGTTGTTTTATTTATGCTATGTATCCTATTCTAACAATCCTTCTCTTTCTAATCCTACTTATCGATAATAATTTTCCTTTCATTTTTAAATATCACTATTTGAAGAAAATATTCAATACGATTATAATAAAGAAATAAATAAACAGTTCAAATCAAAAATTGAACAGTTTTTCTTGTAAAACTATACATCACATTTAAAAATATCAAGTCATAAGAATGAAATGTAAAAATATTCCAATATTTAACAATTTACAAAAGCTTTTATCTTTATAAATACTAGTCAGATGCACGATATTTCTCAAAGAACTACATTCCATATTTCCCTATATATTGAAGACATGTGATGCAGATTATATTGAAACTAGAAGAATTTTGTTTTGAATATAATTTAATTATCGAAAAAGAGTACATGTATAAGATATAATTGAATAATTATTGACAATTTTTAAATTCCCACGATCAGTATAGTGACTAAGTGTATATCTTTCAATTATTGTTATTTGCATTAAAATATTTGCTTCCGACTATTATTTAGATCATCTTCAAACTGTTCTTACTTGATTATTGTTGTAATCATATCAATAGTGTTTTCTATATTTTCTTGAAGCCATTGTCTACTAACATGAGTAACTAAAAAAAACACATCGAGACGTTCTTCTCTCCAAAGTGATATGATCGCATCAAAATCAATGATTTACGGTTTTATCGTTTAAATCTTGAAAGTGTAGGTCTGGATGTAGTCAGAAGAGTACTTATCATCACCCACACCCTCTCAATGAAAAAAGTTTGAAAACAAATCATCTCAATCAAAAATAAAGAATTATAAACGTCATAATTGTTACTAATTTCAATACTCAATACAGAATTCCATCATTATCATATTTCATTTTCGGGTAATTTTCAACTTGAACTAACGACTAATAAAAACATTCGTAGATATAAAAAGAAATAAAATAAGAGGAGTCGAATTTTTTCGTGTACTGCAGCCACTCTGTTTTCTTTCTTCCTTCCTTCCCATATGACGCTATTTATTTACACGTGCATTTTATATTATACCATGGGCGATAATAAATAGAAACCATCTTTTATTTTGCACGTTACCGAAATGAATACAGATATTTCTTCTTGTAGTAAATGTAGGTATAGATGTGAGTATGAGTATTATATCCATCACATACTCATACTTACATTCGCATCCATACGCTCGAGGGCATACGAATATTCCATTAAATAAAAATGCAAAGTTATAAGTTGAAAAACTTAAACAAAAGTGAAATCAAATAAAATTTTCAAAAATCATTTCAGCTGTTGAAATGATTCTTAATTCGAATAATATTAAAAAGTCTTCCTCACTTAGAAAAATAATCATTTAATCAATGGGAAGGACATTTTATTCATGATATACATTCTCATTTAAAAAATAATTTTAATTTAAAAATTTAATAAAACAAGAATTTTTATCATTATGGGATAATGATGCTGAAATTGATTCATTCAATATTTATTTTCAAGTCATGGTGCAGTTTTAAAATCAATTTTATATCATTTTGGTTATCAACAAGATTTTCGATGGAAAATATCAAATTGTGCTTATATGAACCTAAATATTCATGCTCATGAATAAATTTTTATTGAGAATTAAGTGGAATTAAACTGATGAAAGAACCCTAAAGTTTAGTATTATGTGTTGATAAAAGTAAATGCAAAATAAAGTTTAAGTTTTATATTTGTTATTAAATGTTTTATTATTGATTCTATTTGCGTCTTGTAATTTTGACACACATAAAGATATAAAGACCAACAAAAGCAACGCACAGAAGGAATGCAATAATACCAAAAGAAAGTTGTGCGGCTGCTAATCCAGCTGCACTTCGTATATTCGTAGAAGCACTATAAAAGCCACGATTTACTGATGATTCACTAACTCTTGCAGCATTTATTCCAAAATCAATAATCGTAAAAGCAGTAGCAGCGATAGTTACACAAAGTGCAATAAAAGCCCATAAACGAATTGATTTCATACAAACTAAACTGTATACAAAGAAAATTCTATTTTATTCAAATGAATCATTAAACATTATTTACTAAGAATAGCAATAAAAACACCAGCAGCCATAATAAATATTCCAGCCCAAATTCCAACACCAGATGCATAAACACCAGCAATACCTAAGCCAAGTTCGCCAATAAGAGCTAAAAAAATAAACAACAGAGTTGATATCTATTAATGATTGATTACTAATACATGAATATTTTAAAAATTTTCGAGGGGTGTTATAATAATGCATATATCTTCTGAGAATGAAGGAATTTGGACATTACCTATACGCTAATGAGAGATGATGACTAAAGAAATAAATGTCTTAGAGATGCCTAAAGTTTGTCTTAGCTGCAAGATTCATTTCATCTGTGACCAGAGTTAGTTCAAATAATAGGTAACGAGAATCAGATAAGCTATTTGAGACGTAGTGAAATTCAGCTATGAAGTTAGTTTTTCTGATAAATATAAATAGTGATATAAAACATACCTAAAGATGCAATTTCAAAAACAAAAAGAAGAAATCCACATAAGATGATCAAGATACCAATTATTGTAGAAACAACAGATGGCCAAAGTTCTTTCCATTGATATTCAATTGGTAATCTTCCTCCTCCTCCATAACCAATTGGACGACGACCACGAAATCGTGGACGATGTGCAAGCATTTCAGTTTTTTTTCTGTCTTGCAAATGACTTGTAAAAAGAAATATTATCAAAATATATATTATATAGGTAAATGACATTATAATATTAAAGCTGGCCATTTTTGTTTTCGTTTTTATCTATCATACAATGCGCCAAGATTTTTATCAAATAATGGTCTTCAATATCAATAGTTTTTGATATACAAAACATATATTATGTATTTCTAATTACTCTTAATATCACCAACGTCCTTGACTTACTAACACTTTTGTCATTATATCACTTCCGTTTCATCTATTTATTGCTGTCTCAGGTAAATTTCTCTAGACACACGCCTGTGGTTAAAAAAAAAGTTTTGTACCAAACTAATTACTTCCCGTTAGTGGAGGGCCCGCAGCGTAAACACAGGTATGGCAATTAGTTCTAATGCCTTACTATGATAAAAACAAGGTGTTTTAAGCATTATGAAAATACTACGTACCACTACGTATACTCATACTACAAGCGAAGCCGTTTTTTTAGGGTGGGTGTGGGCCTGGATAGGGGTGTCACTTTAACTTTAACTTTATTAGTTAAAGTGCTTAAAGTTTAAAGTTAGAACTTTAACTTTAACTGTTAAAGCAAAGTTAAAGTGACACCCCTAGGCCTGGATGTAGTCAAAAGACTACTTATCGTTACCCACACTCAGCACATCCACCCACACCCACCCATAAGAGAGAATATATCTGTAAAATTAATATTAGAATAAAACTTTTTATTGAATGAATGTGAATGTGATGGAGTTAGTTTTTATAAAGTTTAGTAGAACTATTAAATTTAATCTATTTTTTGCTTTTGTGTTCGTTTGCAACATCTTTTAAATAAATACACTACGATCAACATCGGTAGAATGATATAGATAATCATTAAATCAATCATATATCGTTGATAGAATTGTAGAGTACTTCGAAATGGTGCATATCGACTTAAATCACCCTTCAAACTGACAAACAATTCAATTTCTTTCACTGCTTGTGTTACTCCACCAGCATGTTTCATTTCAAGTGACATAATTCGAACAATTTCTTCATATGTTACATTTCTCCACATCGTCTTCAGTTTAGTTGTTACATCTGTAGTTGTAAATGTGTATTCATGATATGCAACTGGATTTTGAAAAGATCTTAATATTGATGGTCGTTGAAATAAAGATTCTCCAGCACCAGAATGTTCGATTGCAATAGCGTTTGCAAATTGATCTAGACACAATGGTAAACACAAAATAGGTTTTTGATAAAATAATGCTTCAACGATAGAACCCATTCCACAATGACTAATAAAAAGATGAACAGAATTTTGTTGTAGAATCCATTTTTGTTGAATAAATTGATTCTCAATTCGAACTCTTTGTTTATCCATTAAGATATTACGATAGTTTTCATTGGTGATTTTAGTAAGCACAGTTTCATAATATTCAGCGTTTGTATTACGAAAAGCCAATAGAATTGAACTACAATCTGTTTGAAGAAGAAACTCTGCAAGACCATAAATTAAACTTTTCATTCGATCTAAATTAACTGTTGAAACGCTACCAAATGCTACATAGATAATAGATTTTTCAGGTTTTGATTCGATCCATTTAGTCAGGTCATTGTCTGCATTCTTAATCGAAGATTCATCGATAAATGCACCAAGATATTTCGAAGAATGGGATAAATCTGATGGTAGATAGAGTGTCGGAGGAATACTATACAATGTTAAGCATTTCGATTTTGTTAACAAGATATTTTTCCATGTAAAAGTGTCGTAAAATGGTCCGGGAACTTGTGGTAACGATTGTATTAACGTTGACAATAAGCTGATTAATTTTGTAAAGACCGACGCGATCATACGTATAGTAAAGGCAATATTGTATATACGATATTTAAATGTCGATAATTGCTCTCCTGACAATAAAGAGTAACTATATGGTAGATTAACATCAAACATATTTGGATCTTTTTCTGCTAGTTGCATTACACATGGGATGTTTGCATCGTTGCAAAGTGCATGCATGCCTACGGTTAATGTAGTACCAACAATAACATCATATTGCTCTTCCATTACTAGATGTACTGTCTTGTTCATTAATCCACTTATACTATCACTTACTTCTGTTATCACATAAGCAAAATTATCAAAAGATGAATGATTTATTGCATAGTTAACAAACTCTTGCATCTTTTTCGTATGCATATCTAATGTATCCATTGAATTATTCAAATAAATAAGACGAAGTGATGATATATTTGGATGTGATTCTACATTGATATAAGGTTGAGCTTGAGCTTCAGTCACAAATGTTACATTATGATTGTGCATTCCTTTTGCTAATTCAAACAGTGGAATTACATGACCAGCTGCACCAATACTAACTATTAATACATTCAAACTAAACGTTCCAGAAAGGAATGTTAGAATAAAAAGCAATGTTGTAATAACAACCATTATCAGATGTAAAAAAACAAGAATACAACATTCAAGTAAAAATATATGGCTTATTCTTATCAATGGTTTCACCTTTGGACCATAATCAAACCAAACCAGTGATGGGTCGAAATATATTCGAATATAAAGAAATGCTGGATACTATATATGCGTAAGAAGGAAAGAAAGAAAATTTTCGTTTTGTTATTATCGTTTGTTCTTTTCTATGTTTGCAAGCATATTCGAATATCGCAAAAGTATGTCGCCTTTCTGTTGCTAGAAAAAAGTTCTCTTTCTCTTAGCGAAGGACGCCATAATCCAATATAAATAAGAATTTTTATATATTATTTTAATCATAGAGTAATCAAGAAAATAAACTATCACAGTGACAGCTACAAACTTGTGTTACCGCTGGCCATCCATATTTTACCTCGCTTAAAATAATAGTAACTGTTCAAGAACTTCATTCAATTCAATTGTGATGATAACTAGATCGAAACTAACATTAATTCTATGGTTTTCATATTAAAAAAGGTATTGTTTTTTATTTGCTTCTTTTCAGCTGGGTATTCAGTATTATCTTTCGAAAATAACACAACAGTATTACCTTCTTCAATTACCAACACTCCTAGACGAACAGTCAAAGCGAAGGGCATTGTAGTATAGAGATATTTCAAATTCGTAGATAAATCTTTTGACGCTGAATGTATTTTATGTTTATATATTGTTCCTCGTACATCAACATCAACTTCAAATCTTTTGCATCATATTCAAACTGGTTCAGTAGAATAAATTTATATATTTTAATGTGTTTTTTTCATCTCATTTCTTTATTCGTTAATGTTTGAGAATATATTAAGAAATATTAATCTGCGTATGAAGAACATCTATACAAATTAATAGCAAAGACTAAAAATATTATTTATTATACTAAAAATGAAAGATTATTCATACTTTTATTTAAAAGCCTATGAAATTCATTCCTTCAATATTATGCACTGATTGCGCTAATGAATAGTTTAATGTTTTAGGAAACATCAGTGCACGAATAACAGCAGTAAAGGATAAACTACCATATCAAAGTATTGAAAGATGATTTCATAAACATAGGACGATGTGAATGTCGGTATGAGCGTTCATTTAACTTCTGCTATACATTCATGTATATTCACACCCACACCCATTTACGACTTTGTCAGCTGTTCAATCGTCTGATAACTGATAGATTTTACTTAGAAAATATAAATGCGAATATGGATGCGACTTGAATCTTTATCTCATAATCACATCTACATTGTGCTTTATATTTATAAGTTATTCTCTTATTCCTACGTCGCCTTTTCTGTTTCTTTCATTCTTTTTTTTTAATTTTCTTTTTCTTTTAAAAAGTGTCTTTCACTCCTTTTCTAAATTCATTTTTTCTTATCATTTATTGTGCTTCGAAATGTAATGAAAAGTCTTGAAGAGTATTTTATATTCAAAACAAATAACACGAAACATATTAGTAAAATTAACTCAAACACTCATTTATATTTAAACGAACAATAATTAAACATTTGTTTTCGAATACAATCGATTGTGGAAAAGCAAAAGTTGAAAATAGCTGACAGCATTTGTCATCTTTTTTTAAAAGATACGTAGATACGTTTTGAATACAAATAAAATTTCACTTCCATTCATAATGAATGCTAATAAATATAAGAGCAACATAAAACAGGATTGAAAATGAAAGAGAAATGATGTTGCAGGTGTCTGTTTAATGTATAGAGGATGAGAAGAAAATTCCATGAAATACAACAGCTACAAACTTTAACAAAAGTGGTTTGCCTGATTTTGATGAATAAACAAAGTCACTTTCATATAATAATAAAATAAAATAGACAGTTTATTTTCAACCTTAAATTTATCTAGTTTTTGCATTTAGATATATATATATCAAAATGATCAAACTAGAATCAATTATCACAAAAGATATACACACTTATGTGCTGTTTTTATGGATTGTGTAGACATAACTTCTTCTATTGTTGTATCAGAATCATATGAAAATAGAACTGGTGTTTAAATTGTTGTTATTGTTATTGTTGTCATTACCTACGTTTATTACATGTAAAATAAATTTGAAAAGTCTTTTTTTTACTTTCTCTGATATTCTAAATATGATGAAGTAATTTCTTGACTGTCAAATTTTTTTCTTCTCTTTCATTTTAAAAAGAGCCCAACTATTTATTTTCTTGTCGACTACAAATATCAACGATGAAAACCATCTCAATTATACAAATTGTTATAGGAAACTAAAAGAATAGCATTCTTTTTACTCTTCAGGGAATGTATTTTTTTTGCCGTTGTCACATCTCTTGACTTGATAAAGTATAGTGTAGTTATGAATGAGCTTTTTCTTTTTGAAAATATTCCATTTTAAACGTATGCCGTTTCTTTTTCTGCTGATTAAATATTAAACTACAGAATGTTGAAGAGAAAAATATAGTGATAGAAGCTATTCCGACAGTTGTCAGAATATTTTAGAGAGTAAAACAACAAAAAAATATGAGGTGGGCAATTGTTATTCTATTGTTGTTTTCTGTTGGTAATTGTGTTAGAGTTGGTAAAATACAGAATTATATGATGATTGGTATTATGAATAATTCTTTATTTGATCTAACAGAAGAGCAATGTATATGTGAAATGGTAAAATTGAATGGATTTGTTTCTGCTTTAAATTATTTTGCGACAAATGAAACTTGTCAATTATTTAGTTTTAATAGTAGTTCGATTTTAATAGCATTTAATTTAAACTCTTCATTTCTATTTATTAATCAATCAGCAATATCCATAACAGCGATTTCAACAAACAGTAAGTTTTATTCTAGATCCTAGTAGTTGACTATTACATTTTTAAGCACTATGGGCGCCGACTGAATTACTCCGTCTTACTCTATTGTGTTTGCTAGTACCTGTCTTTTATTTTTAAATTTAGTATATATAGCGAGAAAGACTAGAATGCGCTGCTTTTTTTGTATATTTACATTGAACATTAAAGAATCTAGGCGAAGAGTAACTGCAATATTGACCCAAACACTCACACTTACCCTGAATAACGATGCAATATTTATAGGTAGTTCCGATATGAAAATCTGTTTTGGCCACTGTATATTAAAGCTAATGGTGGATAGAATGTGAAGAAGTTTTTTATTTATTGTATATTTAGATACGTCGACGTCAGCGCCTAATTCAATGTAAGATGCAATAATGTTTAGATGAGTATTAATGAGTTTCTTTTTTAAATTTAGCTCAAGCAGTTCGCAACTGTCAACGGTGACCTCCTCGACGTCGTCAACTTCAATCTCCTCAACAACATCAAGCTCGACTTCATCAACCTCAACCACCTCAAGTTCGACCTCGTCACCTTCAACCACCACAACATCGTCCACCTCTACCTCCTCGACGTCGTCAACTTCAATCTCCTCAACGACCTCAAGCTCAATCACGTCAACAACATCAAGCTCGA